AATTCAGAAAGTTCTGGGTTAACACCTAGAACTGACTCTGGGGTAAGCTCCACTAGACTGGAATCTCATCCATTTTTCTATGTCTCATGTTTCGCATGGTACTGGGAACATAGATACGCTAAATAAATGTTTGTCTAATTATCGGAATCTCTGCCTTCCAGGTACCAGATCTTTGACACATTGGAAAATGCTCCAAATCTCAGTCTCCTCGTCTGTTAGGTTGGTACAATGGTACCTCACAGCATTATTAGAAATTTAAAGGCCATATGCATCAGCTGCTTAGCACAGTGCCTGCTACTCAGAAAGCAATAAGGCAATGGCAGCTAAAATCGAGGGAGTGCGTGAGTGTGTTTCTGCCACTTAGTCAATGGAGGCTAGCCCATTATTTTATACTTTTGTCAGCCCTTCCTTTTACCTGTTATGAAAGAGCCAGCCTAGAGAGAGGAAGTCTGTTTGTGGCAGCGTTGATGTTCTGAGTCACTGAACTAGTTAAGGAAGCAAATTTCAAAAGCACAGTTACTTTGTGGGCCCTCCGGGCAAAGAGGAATAAACAATTTCAGCCTTCACAGAAACTTCTGCCAGAATGAATGTGCTGGGCAGGGCGAGCTGGGGGTTCCCAGCCGTCTCTCTGACACAGCGACAAGCAAGGTTTTCCCGAGTCTCTAAATGCTATCTGAAACCCAGACAAGGGGGCTCTCTCCTAGGCAGATAGGTAAACATCCCCAATGGAAGAGCGGAAGGCCAGGGCAACCACCAAGAGAGGCTAAATGAGGCCTCTGTGGGGGCCCCCCTGCCACCCTGAGACCCCTGCCAGAAAAATGGAACCCAGAAGCCTGCTGTTTGTCCTGGAACAAAGCCGAGTCCTCCCAAAGCACGTGGAAGAGAAGTTCTGGCCAGTTTACAGCTGCCAGCGATAGTACTGTAAAAAGCTTTCAGGATACAGCTCTGGGGTGCGGTGGGAGGGGGTGGGGGGCTGTGTGCCAGGTACAGAAAATGAAAACTGAGCCCCTTCATACCCCAGGGGTGTAAACAAAGGGCCTACCAAGCCAGCACCTCCACCAGCCCACCACTGGGAGGGGCGCTCCACTGAAGGAACCTGCGGGAGCGCTCAAAAAAAGCATCAAGCACATGGATCAGGGGGGCTTGGGGGGCCGGGGAGACACGTGGATTATTAAAGGAGACATCCAAGAGTTTCTCAAACTCCCCCCAGTGCCAAGAGTTGGAGCTACACCCATAAAAGTAACATTTCTCCTGGCACTGAAGACATTTTAGGTGTTGCATTAAAATGAGCTCCCAAGAAAAGTGTATTGTCACTGCTCTTTCATAATTAGACGAGCTTTCATAATTAGAGTAATTTATGCCAGAATTAGACAGTTCAGGAGGGGAAGGTCTGAACAGAAATCTAATTGCAAGAGGTAAATATAATATCTGGTAAGAAAACAGGCTCTCAAAATCTGTTTAGAAGTCCAAAGCCAAAATGGATAAAACAATACTTTTTAAAAGTGCGGTAAAGGGTGGGTGGGGGGTGGTAGAGGGCAGAATACTTTCTTAGAATGGCTTTCCTTAAACTGGAAAACTCGATGCTTTTTGAATAACGTGTGAGACTAAAACAAAAAGACAGCATCTGCTGAAAATACTTGGCAAGGGTAAAAACAGCAAGGTTTTGCTGCCTTCGTGAGGCAAAGGCCCGAGAGATGGTAGCATGTGGGAGGCAGCGCTGGCGCTGCTAACTGGCTCAAGCTCTGCCGAGGCCAGGGCTCCTGTCCACAAATCCCGTGTACGCACAGCACAAGGGGCTGTTGGACCACCTTGAACTCCCGAGCACGTGGAGCAGACCTCAGCTCCCTGCTGCTCTTCTCCCTTACGGCTCTGCTGTTCACAGGTCTGTCCGAACCCGTCTGAAATCCATTTATGTTGCCAGCTTGGGCCACCTCTGGGAAATCATCTATTCCATAAATTCATTACCTGCTGCGTGGTGCAGCGTTTCCGCCCACTTGTCCTGAACTTGCCTCCCTCATGGTTCCCAGAAGCTACTGTGTTTCAGGGTCTGATGAACCAGTCTGCTGTCATCTCATCCACACCATTCACAGGCCGATCATGTCCTCCTAACAGCCCGCGTGCACCTTGTCAACAGCCCGTCTGACTCCTAGTCGCTGCTGAGGCTGCCGTTCAGTGACTTTCGGTAGACCCGTGTATGCTTCTAGACTCTCGCCCAACTGTCGCAGGCAAGAACGCACAACAGTTTTCGGTGAGAGTAAAATGTTCTCAGTTTCATGTTTTCCATACCTGAAGAATATGCCCATTTGGGGCAGCACTGTCCTGGGTACAACACATTCTAGTTGACACAGTTTCTAGAAGAGAGTTTGAAAACTGATGGGACAGTGTGTGCAGGCAGCACAGGGAGACTGATGCTGACCAATAGTGCAAGTCACCTGTGTGCAGCGGGGCATGGATGGATGGAGAGAAGCAGGTGGAACCAGTCCCAGCCTTCAGAGCAGGCTATGTTCTGTACTAGACACCCCACTGGTTTTCACAACACGCTGAGAGGGAAGCAACACCTTTTGTCCCCAACCTACTGAAACCAGAGCCTAGCAGATGCTAGGGTCAGTAGCGGGTGGTCACTCCAATTTCCTGTCTCAGTTCACAGGTCGGTTTAGTTTGGCTTCTTTGACTACTTTTTAAAAATTAGATGTCAACGCTGCTTCACTCCATTTAGAGACCACTAACCTCTTGACCACCTTCAAGTATCTCTACTGAAACCATGAAAAAGAATGAGGATGAAGCGGAAATGCAACAGCACGGCAGCTGCCTGGGGCCATTCATGAGTTCATCGGAGTGGGGATTTCGCTGCCAAGAGAATGAAATAGTAGGTGGGTGTTCTAACCTGCTTTTTCATAAGGGATGCATCGTCTACCCAGAGTGGGAGCGTCCTGGCCAGATGCCCACTCCTTCTCTTCTGCCAGAACTGCATCTTCCTTGTAGCATCAGTCCCTCAACAGACTTCGCAGCCTTGGCCATCTATGGGAACAAGTCCGCCATCTCGCTCCCCTCTGGGTCACCGACTTCTCTTTCCTCACGTGCTTACCAGACATCACAGAGATGCCACCTTACGAACAGGCCTCTGATGTTCTTTCTACCACTGACAGACATAAGCCCTGAGCTCAAGTCACTTGCCTTAGTTTCTCTCGTTTAGTTTCTTCCTCTTTTCTCTGAAAAGCAACCCTAAATAACTGTCACTTAGGCCATCGCCCATCTGTAATGTTGCTCACCATTTCCAGGAAAGTATCTTCGGTAGCTTTCCCCCTACAGGCCTCATTCCAGGCCTAATCATTCCTCCCTGCTCACGCGCGGAATTCCTTCACAGAAGGCGAGTTACCCTCTACTTGATGACACGGTGGTAGATGGATGGAATGGGGGGTGGGAAACACGGGGACTCAAACCTGGGCTCCAACATTAGTTATGTGACTTTAAGTTACTTAATGACTCCGAACCTCAGTTCCTTCATCTGTAACAGGATAGTACCACACCTCAATGTGTGACGAAAGACTGAGTGATACGTTAGGTGTCAAGCTTCTGGCACAGTGTCTCGTGGCCCTCCTTAGCATGGAAGAAAATGTCCACCCCCAAATCCTTAGGCCAGTCCACGCTTCACTGCCAGCCCCCCACGCGGGTCCTCGTCACTGCTCTCACAGCCTCTATACTCTGCCTTTAAGCCCCACGAGTGAGAGGAACCAACTCTACCTGGTAGGTAATTGTAGGCTCCACGTGTGATTACAGACTGGGCTCTTCCCAGCTTGGTAAACACATCCACGGAGGCAAGCCCTCAGTCTGGACACATCCGTGCAGCCATCCAACCTCTGCTGGCCCTGCCTGACTACCTGTTAGCCCACCTGCTTCTGGGACCCGCCTTCCCCTTTTCTTCTTGTTCAAATCCAGGCTGAGTTCACTTCACATGAATTTCTGGGAAGAGCGTCTCCTCTAATCTCCTTATATTGGAAGAAAACATTTTTTTCCCCTTTTCCTTAATCATCCTTGGCATTTCTGACTGGAGGGCTGGGTGCCCTCTTTGGCCCTTCAACTCACAATCATTTGGTTTCTCCTACATGAACGGAAATGGGTCCCCTGTTCCTGCATTTTAATGCCTACACACAGAGGCCAAAGGATACCAGCGCTCAGGCCCCGTAGGTGGAGGGCAAGACCCTGCTTAGCACCTGGCACCTGGCAAAAAGCCAACCATCTCCTGTCCTCCGTGTCCTGGAAGGACTCCCCGAGATGACCCTGAGGAAGCCCCTGCAGGGCCAGGGCTTGGCAACACGCCACTTTCCCCAGTACAGTCACCTGGGAGACCCCGAGCAAGCTCCCTCCTTGCCCTGGGTCATCAGAAGCTATGTGTAGGGAGGTCCTCACCCAGCCTTGAAACCGGCTCTTCATTACCCAGCGCCCCAGGTAGGGGAAGCCGGATGCACAGAAATCTGAATCAAAGTGGATGGAGAACACCTGAGGATGGGGGGCGGAGCCTGAGGGCTTTCCGAAGGCAGCTTTCCTTCCCATCTCTGCTTCTCAGGCTCCTGTTGGCACAGTGTCCCTGAATGCCTTCAGGGAGCCATGCAGGCTTTACAGAGGTGCTGGTACACCCCACTGAGCGCGCAGCAGCTGACTAGGGGAGCCTTGTCACTTTTGTGTGTCCAGATAAGGCCTTGGGCCCTTACCCAATCTGACCCAGGGCCTCCCTCTCCGATGCCTCCTACTCCCTTCCAAGAAGGCTGCTCTATCAGGCAGCACTGGGCTGTTTCCACTTAAACAGAGTTTCCCCAACTTAGGTCTCACGTGCCTGGGAACTTTTCTGTGTCTGTGAAAGGGACTGGGGACCGGCGCCCTGCGAGGAGGGGCCGTGTGTGTCCCGCAGGAGGCGTGTCCCGGGACCGAGGGGGCAATGACACGTAACGGCGGTGGAGGGGGGGCGGGTAACTGGCGGGAAGAAGGGAGGTGGGGGCGCGGCTAGGGCGTGTGCGCCCAAGTCCAAGGGCACCGGTAGTCTGTGTGTCCCGGTGGGACGCCTGGGCCGAGGCCGGGAGCGCGGCTGATTCAGGAAGTTGAGTGAGTCTCTGACATCAGGGGCAGGACAGAGTTAGAGTGAAACCTCAAAAATGAGAGGCGTTGGCTGGCAGGCGGACAGGGAAACAGAGGGCGCCTTTCTCAGCGCTGGCGCAGGTAGGGCCGCGCGGGGCAGCCCCTGCTGACCCTGCACTTCGGCCTCGGCCCCGCGGGGGACGGGCAGGGGCTCCAAAAAGGAGCCTGGACCTGCACCCCGGACCCGACCGCTGTCAGAGGGGCAGCACCTGGTGGACCCCTCCCTGGGCCACCGCGTCAGCAGCAGGAACCCCCCGCGGGACACTGAAAGGTGGGTCTCCGGGCTTTCTTTGGTTTAGGGCTGTGTGTGTGTGTGTGTGTGTTTTAAATACATTTTAAGCTACTCTCTGGAAGGGGACTTCCTGGTCACGTCTTTCTTGAGAAGGATGAGGCTAGTGATAAGATTTAAGGATTGTTTCTAAATCGCCTCTTGCTCCACCACAACTTCAGTTCTCCAAAGTTTCCCTCCTTTGAAGGGATGGATTCTCCGCAGCCTCACATCTGCTGCCGGGCTGGGTCCACATGGGTTCCTGGGCTGTTGGGGTGGAGTTCTCCTACTCCAGTTGATAACAGCTGCCGGTAGGAGCTGTTTGAAGGGGACTGAGGGGGCATTCTGTTTGCTGCTGGAAAAGTTAAGGCCTTCGACCCTCCCAAAAAGTTCAGCTTAGATGTCTCTGAATTATTCCCGGTGAAGCCAGGTTTTCACAGGGCTAAAAAAGTGGCCAAAACGAAAACATGGCCTGGAGCCAGGGGTGGAATGGGAACCTGCTGGTGGCACTTCCCTGAGCCTCTGGGGGATTTCTTGTGACACAGCTGGTTCCTCATTTCTTTCCAGCGGTTCTCAACCTTCCTACTGCCGCGATCCCTTAATACAGTGCCTCATGTTGTGGTGACCCCCAACCATAAAATTATTTTCGTTGCTGCTCTATAACTGTAATTTTGCTACTGTTGTGAATCATAATGTAAATATCTTTTTGTTTTCCGATGGTCTTAGGCGACCCCTGTGAAAGGGTCGTTCGACCCCAAAGGGGTCGCCACCCACAGGTTGAGAACCGCTGCTACGGTCCCACTCCCAGCCCCCACCCCCACCCCACCCAAGAAGGCAGAATGGAGGACACAAGAAGACCAGTTTCCCTAGTACTCTGGGAATGCATTATGTAATAACAGAGTTAAATAAACTACAGACGCTAGCCAGTGAGAACACCAGTCCTGCCAACCGAAAGGAAAACCAAAGCTGACCAGCACCGCCCTAATTTCACAGGGAACTGGCAGCCAGCATGCTAACCACCTTGCAGGACCCCTCTGCAGACTGAGGAAGGGGAGGGAACGTCCACGTGGGCCTCTCAGAAGCACCTTCCTTCCAAAGCTGTTGGGGTTTCGGTCACTCCACTAAAGATCATGGTGGAGCTATAAAGCTAATTTTAAGGAACCTTCATTTTGAAGCCCTGTTGGATAATGGGAGAGCCTTGGGTTATAAGGAGCAGGGCTTAAAATATCTTGTTCCCAACCCTTTTAACAAATAGTTTGCAAGTTCCTCCTAAAGAAATTTAACAAGGGACTTACTATCCACCTCCTAGTCCTAGTCCTTCCCTCTGCCCAGTGCTGGGCTGTGCTGGAAAATCCGATCGGGTCCTTTGGTTTCCTCTGAAATTCTGGCTTCCCATCCTCACCCTAGATAACAATTTTAGGAAAGAAATGCATTGCAAAACAAATGTTTCTCCAGCCTCCACACTCTGTCAATATTTATCTTGTGGAATAAAGAGGATGACTTCTACCCTTTTCCCCAAAGATGAAATCCAAGAGAATAACGAACACCCAAAAAGCTAAGGTACTGATTTCATCAAAGAGGAAGGTACATCCATCCCATCCATTCACTCAACATTTACTGTACCTACTGTGTGCCAGGCTGTAAAGCCAAGACCTTGGAGTCCCAAGATACGAGATAGTTGCTGCTTTTGAAGACCTCCAATCTGATAAATAAGACAGATTCAGAAACAAACTACAGTTCAGAATGATATACATCATAATAGCAGGAACCATGGGACTCTGAAACTATCCAAAGGAGGGAGTGATGAACTCCCCCAGGAATTACCTGGGAAGGCAACACAGCAAAAGGGACAGATGAGCAGAGTGTTGAGAATGACAAGGAGATCCCAGAGCCATGTGTGTCCAGGCAGAAGGGTATTTGCAAAGTCAAGGGCAGGCTGGGGGAACCGCAGGTTATGGGGGTTAGTTACATTGTTACTACATTAGGAATGGTGAGCTCTCTCCTGTAGGCATGGGAAGCCATTTGGGGTTTTTAAGCAGGAAATTTGTGTTTGAAGAGAGAACTAATGGCCAGGTGGAGGCTGGCTTGGAGAGATGGAATGCAGAGATGAGGACATCGTCTAAGATAATGGCAGCAGAAACAGGATTTTAGTGTTTTCAGGAAGGAGAGTTGAAAGTGCCTGGTGCCCAAGTGAATGTGGTGAGGGAGGAATGAATGAATGGAAGAGGGGATGCTTACAGGTTGTTGAGCTGGGGGTGGGGGTGCACTGTGATGCCTGTAGTGGGAATCTATGAACTAGAGGAGGAGTGGGCTTGGGAAGTGGATTGTGAGCGAAGAAGGCAGTTAACACTTCAGACACATGTAAGTTGGATAGTCCCCGCAGAGGTCCGGGTGGAGATATGTGGTAGGCAGTGAGTAGTCCGGTCTGGAGCTCAGGGAGGGACGGAAGATGCGCCAATTTAACTATCTAGATGTTGTACATAAAAGCGGTGCTGATGGCAGCTGAAGAAGCCTGTGGTGACCCTGTCGTGAGACCACATTGATGCTGAGAGTCTTGGATTTGCCAGTAATGACCCCCAGATATTATTTTCATATCATATGGTGATCTTCCAAATGACCCTCTAGACTCCCAAGGCTTTCCCCGGATGCCTTGCAGGGTGATAACCTGATATGTTGGCGAGAGTCCTGGGTTAATGGCGCACAGGTAGTACAGATGCATTTAACCAAACAAGCCAATCCCCAGGAATCACTTCCCTGTGAGAGAAATGAATACTTTAGTTCAACTGTAAAACATGCCAAGACCTCCCCAGAACTCACACGCCTAGCCTAGTTATTGCACCTGTGTGGAAGATGTCCTACCATCACTAAGACAAGAAGGATGACTAATGCAAAACCTCTAGAGCAGTGGTTCTCAACCTTCCTAATGCCGCGGCCCCTTAATACAGTTCCTCATGTGGTGGTGACCCCCAACCATAAAATTATTTTCGTTGCTACTCTATAACTGTAATTTTGCTACTGTTATGAATTGTAATGTAAGTATCTTTTTGTTTTCCGATGGTCTTAAGCGACCCCCAAAGGGGTCGCGACCCACAGGTTGAGAACCGCTGCTCAAGAGCGTTTAGGCCTGACTGCCACTGCCCAGATCAGGATCTTATGTGACCTGGAGTGGAAGAAAAAAACCTTGAACTCGGAACTAGACAGACATGGGTTCAAGTTTTGCCTGGACCACTTGTTAGCTACCCTTGAACAAGTCTTCGAATTGCTCAGCTTCATTGCCCGTATATTTAAAATGGGGATAATTATTACTCACCAGGGCAATGGTTACAATCAGAATCAAATCGGAAAAGCACATTTAAAGCGTTACATAAATTGTAAGGTTTTATTAAAGTGTAAGGAGCTTTATTACTACTCATCTTGCCTCGGAGTGACGAAATCAGATGGACTATGTAGGTACTGGATCTGGGCAGGGTCTTAGGCCCAGACGTGCAGCTTCTTAACTGCATGGAGTATTTTAAAGCAGTAATTATAAGCCTCCTTCTGTCCTATCAGTGACACACATCTATTCTGGCTGCTTCTCTTTTTACTCCTTACGTCCAGTAGTCAGAGCCCAAAGAAGTGAATGCTTTACGAACACGTGTGCAGGTTGTGCACTGCACAAGGACTCCGGGGAGCTCACAGGGCTGCAAGCAGCCAGTCTTCCACTCCCCAGGTCACTCCATGTGCAGCTGGGTCCTCCAAGGTGGCCCCGACTCTTGAGCGTCAGCTAATGCCTTGGCTGTATCTGTGATTTTTTTTCTCTGTCCCAAGCAGGGAAGCCTGACATATTCCAACCCAGTGAAGCTTACATTTTATGCTGGCTTCAAAACTTTCAAGTCAACAGGCTTCTTTCTGATAGGGCTGGATGTTGACGAAGAAAAGGAAGTAACCACAGACTCAAAGACTTCAAATGGAAAAACACTTTAGCGATGAGCCAGCCCCACTCCCTGGCTTCACAGATGAGCAAACTAAGGTTCAGGGAGGTGATGTGTGTGCCCAGGTCAAGAGCCGGTGAAAGGAGGGACAGGAATTCAAGCTCGGTCACTTGGTTCAGGAATCGTGGACACGCTAGGGTTTCCGCAACCTGGACCTTCTGTACCTCTCACACAGGGACACATACAGGCACTCAAGAGGTAAAAATGAGGGCCAGCCGAGTGGCGCGATGGTTAAGAACTGGCTTGGGATGCCACATATGAGGGCCAGTGACACTGCCCTCCATAAAAAAATAAAAATAAAAAAAAAGAGGTAAAAATGGAAAGACTGAACTTGAAGCTGAGTCTCTCCCCACCCCCCTGACCTCCAAGTAACCTCAAACTAAAACCCTTTTGGTGTTTTGGGAAACTTGTCATGAAGGCGGTGTTAAGACCAGTGGAGCGGCCAGCAAGCAGTACACCAAATGTTGATACACAACTTATCATTCAATGAGAGAGGCTCCAGGCAAATCCCAGGAGCTCATGAGACTTGTCGCAGGCACAGTAAGTGGCAGGGCAGCCTTTTTCCCTCTCCGAGCAGCAAAAAGAAAAATCTACAGCAAGTTCTCTGCAGGCCACAGAGCAGCTCAGGTTTCTGGCTTTTCCCATCTCCACAGAGCACCACCTGGGACACGAGTGGACCTTTAGTGGAGAGTGGACAAGGGGAGCTGACTTCCAAAATGAGCTTCATGCAAACATGAGATTCTTTTTTCAGGGCAGCTCCCCAGGGGCTGTGGCAGTGTCCAAACCAAATCGCGGGCCCTGGGAAGAAGCTCGCTCCCATGACCATGAGCAAGCAGCTCCATGGAGTTTGTTGCTAAGAAATGAAAGAAAACCTCATCCTGGCTCCATTTCTTGGTCAAAAGTGAAGACTGTGTTTATAAGCCACTGCAGGCCTGCCCTTGCCCTTAACGGTCAAGAACCCCTTCCTGTTAGGATGACTTTTATTCTTTTCACATACGACCCTAATTTCAAGCCAGGTAGGCTTAAGGAGAG